AACAGTAACAGAAATTTCACATAATTACCGGTAGCTACCAAACAAGCTGGAACATGTTGAAGCTCATTCCAACAGAAAATGCATTTTGAACATATTGTATGACCAAACTGAGCAAAAATACAACACAGTCTGTTTATGTGAACATAATCAATAAAGAAAATTACAATATGTGATAGTATAACATCATATAGTTCGTTTTACCTTTCAGTGTGGACAAGCACCTCTTCAGCTGTTGCTGCTCTTCAAGTTCTATTTCCATTTGAAGAATGCAGCAATTAAATAGCATAGCAAAAATTCAAAAGAAAATAAAATGGAAAATTGTGTTTTCCACTTGAAAAATGCCACAGTGCAAAAGTTGGTCAAAAATTTACCGTAATTGTCATTTAAGGTGGATATTATCATTGTGATTTGTGTACAAGTGGCCATTTCTCTGGCCAGTTGGTTTTAGTTAGTCAACTGATGACAAAGGGATGTATTTAAGATCATTTGACAGCTCCGTCTGAGGGCCTCATACCAGTTGGTTCCACCTCTGGGCACTACTGTGCAGAATCTGTTTGCAAAATGCATCACAAAAGCAAGATGGCCGCCTCGGTGTCTGCATCATTTTGGCTTCAGTTTTGTACCAGATATTCCCTGATGTGATTAAGGAAACTCGATTTTAAGCTGCATTTTATTTAGATATAGTTCTTATTTGGCTGCTTGTGTTTAATAAAGCCACACTCTGTAGCGATTTGTTGTGTTGATGTCTCCTCTGATATTAACAGTTTCAAACCTCACAATACACAAGCAACACCAGCAGTAAATGCAGACACCAAGCGAGATGTATTCCAGGATGGTGGTCCAGAAGGCGAACAGGTAGAGCGTCTTATTACAGTAGGTGCCTGTGCTGTTCACTGCCTGAATGTAGTTGGGTTCATAGATGGAGTAGATCCACACATTACCTGGAAATAAGAAGCCCAAGAAAAGAATTAATAATCACCTCTAGGTTCATCACAAAAGGCGACACTTCATATTAAGCATAGTCATTTGAAAATAACTTACAGCACTTTGAATGCAACACATATTCATTCTCCAGCAGGAAGTCAGGACTACCTACAAATATTTTATATAAAGCTGCAACACATTTCTGGCAACTTGACAAGTGGACACACGCAGCCCTGACATATTTTAACATTCTAACTTTAGTGTGTCTATCATACAACAGCTACATTTACACAACCAGCAGAAAAGGAGCAATGTTAGCATTAAGAAACTGGCCATTCCTAGAAAATGGTTTTAAGGTTAGGTTTGTCACAAAAGGCGCTGTTCTAACAGTTTGACTGAACCATGCAGGCCATAAACAATGATCTTGAAGAGGCAGAGTTTGGGGATTTTTCAGGCATCGGTTTAATTCCCCAACATGTGAGCTTACCAGTGATGAACCAGCAGAATCTGAAGAGATGGATGACGTGACTGCAGATCCTGTAGAGAACACTGGAGTCAGCAGTGCAGGGTAGGAGGGAGAACATTCTCAGCACCATGGAGATGACTCCCATCACTATCAAATAGATGGGGATGTAGGGCTGTATCGGACAGTCGTAAAGGTACACTGCTCCTGTTTGACATGAGAATAAATGATTCACTCATCTGCTTTACCTACTGATGTGACTGCACTTTCATTTTACTGGTGGACACAGTTTGAAACTCTGGTTGTCTGATAGTTTAAAAATTAATTTTCTGCTACTGAAAATAAGTGACAAGTGTAGCAGAGACCTACCTACTACTATGTAAGCAATGTCCATGATCCACGCCATCACCTTGCAGCATACTGAGGGAAGAAAGAAAGATCACATCAAGTCACACCCGACTGCAGACACTAACTTTGACCTCAACACAAGTGTGCATGACCTTCCTACATCACTGGATCTTACCTGACATAGCTGCTGAGGCCATGGGGAGTTGTACGTTACCATTAAACATCGTCAGAAATGTTAAGTCTAAGCTATGGTACAGCGGGTCAAAGGGAACAGAGACAGATACATCAGGTTTCAACAGCACCACAAAAAATCCAGTCTGTGAACTCAAAAGCAGCCCTAGGGTTACACACTGCAGCCTACTTCCCTTAAAGTCAAGGGCATTGTGTTATTTTAGCAATAAGAACAGTAACAGAAATTTCACATAATTAGCTACCAAAGCTGGAACATGTTGAAGCTCATTCCAACAGAAAATGCATTTTGAACATATTGTATGACCAAACTGAGCAAAAATACAACACAGTCTGTTTATGTGAACATAATCAATAAAGAAAATTACAATATGTGATAGTATAACATCATATAGTTCGTTTTACCTTTCAGTGTGGACAAGCACCTCTTCAGCTGTTGCTGCTCTTCAAGTTCTATTTCCATTTGAAGAATGCAGCAATTAAATAGCATAGCAAAAATTCAAAAGAAAATAAAATGGAAAATTGTGTTTTCCACTTGAAAAATGCCACAGTGGAAAAGTTGGTCAAAAATTTACCGTAATTGTCATTTAAGGTGGATATTATCATTGTGATTTGTGTACAAGTGGCCATTTCTCTGGCCAGTTGGTTTTAGTTAGTCAACTGATGACAAAGGGATGTATTTAAGATCATTTGACAGCTCCGTCTGAGGGCCTCATACCAGTTGGTTTCACCTCTGGGCACTACTGTGCAGAATCTGTTTGCAAAATGCATCACAAAAGCAAGATGGCCGCCTCGGTGTCTGCATCATTTTGGCTTCAGTTTTGTACCAGATATTTCCTGATGTGATTAAGGAAACTTGATTTTAAGCTGCATTTCATTTAGATATAGTTCTTATTTGGCTGCTTGTGTTTAAGGCAATATTACACTGTGATACAATGGGAAATTTGAAATGTTTTGGTAAATGACTGTAAGGAATTTGTACTTAAATTCATAATATATATATTTTTTTAAAACCTAAAAGGGACTTGGCCCAAAACCTGACAGATGCATAAAAAAACCTCAAAATGACAAAAGGTTATTACTAATATCAAAACATAATTTTTACATAATAAACCACTGTTGTAAAGAAATAAAAAAAAGTACACAGTTATGTGTTAAACTGGATTTTGCATGTATAATTTCTGGGATAAAAAAATTAACTAAAATAAACTGTGATACTGGAGCTCCTTTCCATACTGAAGGCAAAAAGCTAATCAGACAAAAATCAGGTTAATGTTGTTCTTCATTTATTAAAGCCACTATCTATTGTCATTTGACGCGCTGTCGTCTTGCATGTTATCAACATTAACACACCACAGAATGCACAAGCAACAGCAGCAGAGAATGGAGAAACCAAACATGATGTAGACCAGGTTGGTGGTCCAGAAGGCGAACAGGTAGAGCGTCTTATTACAGTAGGTGCCTGTGCTGTTCACTGCCTGAATGTAGTTGGGTTCATAGATGGAGTAGATCCACACATTACCTGGAAATAAGAAGCCCAAGAAAAGAATTTATTAAGATATTAATTAAGAAACTGGCCATTAATTGAAAATGGTCTTAAAGTTAGGTTGGTCAGAAAAGGCGCCGCTCTTCTGACAGTTTGACTGATCAACATGTGAGCTTACCAATGATGAACCAGCAGGTGCCGAAGAGAGAGATGAAGCCTCTGCAGATCATGCAGAGAACACCAGAGTTCGCAGTGCAGGGTAGGGAGGAGAACAGAATCAGCGCCAGGGCGATCCCTCCCACCACCATCAAGTAGATGGGGATGTAGGGCTGTATCGGACAGTCGTAAAGGTACACTGCTCCTGTTTGACATGAGAACAAATGATTCACTCATCTGCTTTACCTACTGATGTGGGTGACTACAGTCCAAAATTCTGGCTGCTCAATATTTAAAAGTCGCTTTCCTGCCCCTGTCGGTCACTCACCTATTGCTACCTGAGTGAAGGCCATGATGCACATAAGCACTTGAAAACATACTGAGCGAATAAAGACAGAAATCATATTAAAGTCACACGGTGATGTCAGTTGAACTGTGACCAAAAGTGTGCATGATCTTTGCATATCACTGCCTCTCACCTGACATTGTTGGCGGGGGTTTATGGGATGTGCTGATGTGTAGTAATCTCTCACTGTCTGACATTGTTGCTGATGTTAAATCTAAAGGGAGGAGAGACAGATACCTGAGGTGTCTACACCAATGCAGCAATCCAGTTTGTGTACTCACAACTTCCAGAACGATGGCGTTTCACAAGAAGTGCTGTTCATTCACAATATACTGTAGCAGCACAACTTCCCTTAAAGTCCAGGACATTATGTTCTTTTAGTGACAAGAAGATTAACGTAAATTAAAGACAATTACCAAACAAGCTCAAACATTTCATGGAGTATCAAACCAATATTGTTTCAGTGTGGAGAAAACCATTCAGTATATGTGAGAATAACAGCTATAAAATAAAATAAAATAAAAGAAAATACAATCGGCAACATGTCGCATTGTTGAGGTTTTACCTTCAAGTGTGTCCTCTTCAGTTCACCTCCTCCCCAGTGGCTGCAAGTCAAAGTGACCAGCTTCTCAAGAGCAAACTGTTTTTTCCCAGTACTGCTTAGTTTTAATACTTTGGTAGATTACAGCCAGTTGTTCAGACGGGGTTTACGTGCTGTGTGGTCTGGTTCCTCATGATCCTTGTTTCAGTTCCTTTTCCATGACAACAGTGTCCACTACTAAAAACATCACGCCACAGTTTAACTTGAGCAATTCAGCATTAGACTCCAAAAGTGAAGTTCTTTTAGGTGAAAAAGCTCAATAAGAGCAAAATAAAAAAAATGATAATCATATCATATAGGTGATGTTTCAGCTTTGAGTATGAGCTTCTCAGTTCATCCCCCCCAGAGACTGAAAGTGAAAGTAACCGGCTTTTCAAGAGCAAACTGTTTTTTCCCAGTGCTAACACAAATGCGGATGGCAGAGCTCAGCTGTTCAAATGCGGTGTGAAGAAAGGTACAGATGCTGGGTGCCCTCAACTTCCGGGCTTATCTTGAACCTTGTTGTGGTTTCTTTTCTATTACAACAGTGTCCGCTACTAAAAAAAAAAAAAAAAAAAAAAAAAACACACAAAATCATCATTTAACTTGAATAATTCAATGTTAGTCTCCATTAAGAATTTTAGTATTCAACAAATTAGACTGATCAGGTTTGTTCTGTGAATGACACACCACTGGCTGCTTAAATACAGTTTTTAACCTTGTCCCACCTACAAACAATCAGATGTTTGGGTATAAAAGATCATTTTATTGCTCTTACACTGAAATGATCAGTCTGTTTCTGATAAAAGCACAAATAGACAGTATACTCAAACTGTAAAAAAACAACTGCGTCTGGTTGTGAAAGTCCCATTGTCTCGTCTCTGGGTTTCTCAGCTGACCTTTACACTCAGTGACTGTTGAGTCAAAACTCTTGTACTTTAGTTTCCCAATCAGCAGGTTTAATCTGTTTTAGTTGTTGGAGGCTCTCTATCAATGTTCCCATGTTTCCAGGCAGGTAGCAAACATATGATACATGATACATAACATTTTCCAGATTATTTGGTAAGAATTGCTATAAAATATCTATTTTAAAGCCAATGTAGTTATAGGAAGAGCCCACTTCCTCTGCGGTGAAGCTTGTCTTGTGGTAACAGAGGCAGTTTTTATGCCACGACGGAGACGCTTTAACACACATACATTTCCTGTTTCTGCTTATTTCTCTTTTAATTTCATTTACTTCTTCACATGACAGACCGACATTTACAGTAAATAATGTTTCCTCTAAATATCTTGTATCTTACAGCACTGGAACTCATCTGATACAGACTGATGTGTTAGTTTAGTGTCGTAGTTACCTGTTAGACAGTGGAAACTAATTAGGCCACAGTCCAAACTGGCTTCCACTGTATCCTAAAGTATTTTATAGACAGTAAACTAAA